GGGCACATGGTCAGCCGAGTGTTGCAGGGATGCAGGGAAAACATAAAGTGAAAGACGCTTACCATTGTGGTCGAAGTAAAACAAGATGGTCAAAAGCAATGCGAAGGGGATGGCGAGGAAGATATCACCAACACTAAGATCCCAGAAGCGCACCAACCAGCCACGGTCCGCCGTGGGGAAGAAGGATTTACTGATCGGAAGAGTCGAGACACTCACATCACGCATATGCCCGAAGTGAACAAAACCCGTGAAGAAGACGATGGTCAGTACGGTGCCGTAGTCTTCGATGAACTTCCGAACCCAACGGTGGAAGAGGCTGCTTTTGCCGATTTCGCCGCAGACCCAGCCACTCATGAGAACTAACAATGCGACCATGATACTGAGATATGCGGATGTCTCCCCATCTGATCCCCATTGTCGGGTGAGAACCTGGATACCCTTCTGGAGATAGACAAACGCGACATAGAAACCGAAAATATCGCATGAGAAGCGGGTGACGTATGTCAATCCATTGCACATGTTAGTGATGGCGATGATCCAATGCATAATCAGGGACCAACTGCATCGCGACGAAAGAACAAAAGGGTGTCAGCGAGTCATACACCCCAACTCGAAGATCGGAGCCGCACTTACATTCCTATCCATGCCATGAAGCCCAGGTAATTGGTGCCTCTCGGTGCTATGATATCATAAACCGTGTAGTTGAAGACTGTGATCGGACCTGTTTACATGTGTTAGTCACCAAGCTCAGGATATTTGAGAGCGATGCGGAATTTGCATTGGCATAAATCCACAACATGGAGGGCACTGACCAGTAACGCCAACAATGACGAGCGGTTGTGCAGCGAACAATGAGAAAACAACTGCCCCAAGTACTGATGAGAGGAGCACTTCGTTCACGCCATAGTTCTGGTGAGTTTTCTCGAACATATCCAGTGAGAAGGCCAGGGCCGGCAGGATGCTACGACAGTGTTAGCCTTGTGCTCAAGATACGGCCACATTGTAACATTGGTGCGCTGATGAATTCATCAGAGGATTGCGTCGTCAATGGACCTACTTCGCAAAGAACATATAAACTGTCGCCGGAACCACTCGATAGTCCCATGCGTCGGTCCAATCACTTATGAAGAACGGAGCTCTCCTCTTAATGTCGTGGATCATGCCGCGGAAGAAGTGTATGCGCCACCATCTTGATTTCGTGGCCGACGTTGCGGCAGACCGACGAGTGGTGTGTCGCGACAAGTGTTCGGGGTCGTGTGAAGTACTTGGATCGCCCATTTTGCCCCGGCCACCGAGACCGTGGTGCAACGTGAAGATAACACTTCAGGGCTTGGATGAGTGAACAATAGCGATGTTCTTATAGAGACTCCACTCGGAACTGGAAAAACTGGATATTATAGGTCGGAGAGAAGAGTTCCGGTTGGGAAAGCGAATGGTCAAAATCACTCCCACTCGAATAGCGAAGCAACAGGTATTACTTTAAGAAAAACTAAATAAATAAACAAGCGCAGTTCGCGAGGTGTACGACTTCTATATGTTTAGTAGGAGACTTTTTGCCTTTTTAACCCTCGGGAGCACGAATCCATTTCTTTTGCCGCAAGCCAGCATAAAGGCAGGTGGAGACGCACTTTAGTTGGTCACTGGCAAAGGGGAGATCGAACTAAAACTCGGATCATCAAAAAAGCAAGAGAACTATTGGTGGTTGGCCAGAGCCTGACCTCAACATGCCTGGGGTCCTGGCGTCGGGGTAAAAGATTCAGAATGGCGTCGGAAAAGTTTTCGCCAGATCCCGTGCCTCTCGCAACCCTCAAGAGCAGGGCGACAGATGCGCGCAATAATACTTTCACGAGTTGTAGTACCTACAGATTCTAGAGTCCATTCAGTAGAGTATTAAGGGAGAAAAACAAGCTTATCTACACGATCCAGGGACCATCAAAATAATACCTGCCAGCTTCTGGACAAAATGATATCTTCACAGGACCCGCATTTTCATTTCTTGCCTCCCGAGGTGGGGATGACGCCAAGCAAAGCTGACCGCAGTCTCGTCTTTGATTGGACTGTGTGGGTCAGTCAGAATGCTGCCCAGGCAGAATTTTAGTATTAGATTATGATTGAGTTGAAGGCTTCGTTGATGCAATCATTAAACCATCACGTATCTCTAGTTCTCTGCTTCCTGGACCACCAAGTGGCTGATTAAACCCAGATTGTAGACCTACAACGATTAAGCTACTTTTTACATTACACGTAGAGACTACAAGTATAAGAGAACAAACAAAAAGAGAAAAAGAAAAGACAACCGCCCAATCCGTAATGCAAAGACAGCGCATCATGCATTAGAGAAGAATAAATCAACACCATACCCGTCGAGCATTTATAGCGACACATCTGGTGAAATCTGGTTCGTCTGGTATATACATGAATGCAACAATTAAACATATTACTAGGATCATTAATCGTACAGGTAAGGTTGGGTAACAAGTGAGCAGAGTGTCCACGCCAATACTATGGACTATATGCTGGCGGCATATCCTCTGTAAGGCCACTCGTATACATAATATCTTCCGACGGTAGGAATCTCCTGCCTGTGTAGCCTACCTGGATGGGTAGCTCCAGCCTCAACGCGACGTGACCGTGCCCGGAGATAACCATATACAATTTCAAGCTATATCTTCTGGAAACAAGCATGGAAGAAAATGAAGGTGTAAGGTATGTGGGACTGCGGCACTTGAATATCAATTCTGCTTCGGTTTCCCAGGCGGTCCCAGTGCCTATGTAGTCGGTTAGTAACTCCCTACTTTAGCAGGCTACAAATTACCAAAGTTCAACTGAACTGCTCCAGGAGGAAATACTAACCCATTTCTGTTGGTGTCCAACGGGAAAAGCAAAGCTTCCGTAGCTGGCTCGGATAGGATTTGCGCGTTTCGAAGGTGAACGGAAAGGCGGAAGCATCACATGTTGCCGGTGATCTTCGTTGGGGTTCGATAGAGATAAATGTGCTAGCCTTCAGATTCGAGCGAACTATCCCATGGAACTGTGGCGGAGGTGTTCGCATGGGGTCGCCCTTCAACGATTCATATCGAAGCCGCAAGCGTATTGATGTTGCGGCGCCCTCCTTCTCCGGCGAAAACTCAAGAGGTGATGGCTCTTGGCTATAGACGTAAAGTCTCCCAGTCGGTCGAAGGAACGGGTTGCGAAGAGTCTTCAAGGTAGAAAGTTTGTATTCACCAGGGAAGTCTTCGGTACAGACAGGTGGTTGCCGTCCATGAGAAGCCCACAATGTAAATGGCCGAGTCGTGTCCACCACACAGCGCCCTTCAGCTAGGAGTTGGGCGCGTATTCGGTAGTCAATACTGCAAGTCCCCTTAGGACCCAAGATCGCAGCCCGATGACTAGCTGGCGAGAAATTGACATTGAGCGATGAGGGGATATGCTGACCGTATTTGTTCGATACGGGGCCGCTTATGTTTTTAGGTATCGAAAATCGGAAGTGGTAGCGTTGATCTACGTTGCTGATAAACTGTTGCTCTGGATAGGTCACGTTCAAGTTAATAATCTGGTTTGCCGAGTGTCCTCGGTGCTGGTCAGCCATGTCGATCAGTTTCATATCAGAGAGACGCCATGCCTTTTGATAAACGTATGTGTGATAGAGCATTGTCGGGGATTCTCCCACCAGATCGGCATGATTGGATAATGTTCCTGTGGTACGTACAGCCAGTCAGATTGAGAGTCATATACGGTGCTATCGCTCTTTCTCTGCTACTAGAGTTGGTATCTACCTTCTAGCATTACTTTCACTATGCCAGATATCGGAGTCCTCAGGTCTTTTGGAGACACAACAACTGTTCCTTGGACATGTCGACCGCCCTCGAAGATGGGAAGTTGCCCGTGTTTGCGATGGCCGGGGGTCAATGGTGTAGAGCAGGGAAATGATATATCCAGAGTGATAGCCATTGCGAAAAGGCCAGGCTGTGCGCGGTCGGGTCGCAGAGGCCGGATCGAGCGATGCTCGTTCCTCCATCCATTTCAAAGATTGCGGTTCCATCTTGTCATTCTATTATAGCCCTCGCAGCGGTGAGGCTTACATGGTTTACTGCATGGTCACCAGGATGCGCGAGGAGACATCACTTCCCTCCGACTAAAAGAATATCGATCTGCTCACCAAAATTTCTCCGGAAGAGACGCCCAAAACCCAAATGTTAGAGTTACTGCTAGCTACAAAGTGTTCGGGACAAACAAGATAAATATTGAAGCGAACGATAGCAGCTGCTTCCCGGGCTCGTTTGCAGTTGCGGTGTAACACGATTACGTTTAACGTGCATACGACAAGTCCGACTGCTTGCGTGGCTGGAAGATGATGTTTCCTGGAAACACGTCATGCTAGAATGCGAAATATGACAGGTACGAGTAGATCGTTCAGATGATCTAGAATACGATCTACTATCATGCTTTCCCTACATAGCCTCGAAAGTCTAATTTCAATATGATTAGCATTTTTAACTCTAAAATGCTTCGCATACCCCACCCGTGATATTAATTTTATTTGCTGGCTTGTATAGATAAGCATGGATATGATCTAGCGTAAACACCTTGCTATCTAGTGCATAGTACCTAGGGAACGACGAATAAAAGTGCAACATTTTGTTCAGTATTGTATCTTATCTACTTGCTCCACCGTATCTTGTGTGTCTAGACTCTAGTAGAGATACTATTTTTAGCCTAGTGGAGGAGAAGATGCTTCCATCGATAGTGATTAGTTCGCTATCTCGAGTCATGATACTAGCCTCTCCGATATGTGGCTATCATGTGCGGTATATTAGGGTTTACATTATAGAGTTGACCGATGGCACAAACACAATACAAAGCCTTTTCAAATGGTATCTTGCCAGCATCAAATCTCTATACAAATCTCTATACAAATCATCTCTACCCCGATCGCTCATCGCTGGCTAGGGAGGAATGTCACCATCAATAGCAACTACAGAAACAATCCTAGTATTCAATCACACTCCTGGACCCCCTATGAGAGTCTTGATCCCGTTCCCCAATCTCACCTCCTCAAACGCCCGCGGCGCATCCTCAAATTTGAAAACTTGCGTGATCAGCGCCTTAACATCAATTTTCCCGGCAGCAATCAGCGCAATAGCGAGCTTGTAATCGCCACTGGAATATCGGAAACTTCCCCGTATCACGAGCTCCTTTGTGCATGCCGTCGTGATTGGAAACTTAACTTCCTCCCTTCCCATCCCTCCTTGGACATACGTTCCGCCGGGTCTCAATATATGGATGCCAGTATACACCGATGGCTCCGCGCCAGAAGCCTCAATGACAACATCTGCGCCTACTCCAAGTTCATTTTCTTCTTTCAGCCGAACAGCGTTATCCGCCGGAGAGGAGTCCATGCCCGGCAGAAAATGAGCAGTTGCCGCGTAGGCACGAGCGAATTCCAATCGTTTAGGTTGTACATCAACCACAATCACCTTGGAGGCCCCAAAAGCTCGTGCCACCGCACAGCACAAGAGGCCGACGGGCCCTGCGCCAAATACTACCACCGACTGCCCTGGCTGCAATGCGGCCTGTCGAACAAGATGCACTGCAACACTGAGGGGCTCCACAACGGCGCCTTCTTGCAAGCTAACATTCGTAGGAAGCTTGTAGCAAAAGTCCTCGGGCAAAACATAGTACTTGGCCAAGGTGCCGTCGAAGGGAGGAGTAGCAGCAAATGCCATCTCGCTGCACAGGTTATAGCTCCCGACTTTGCAAAACGTGCATCGTCGGCAGGGCACTCCTGGTTCTAGGGCAACGTGGTCGCCCACTGTAAGTGACTTCACTTTAGATCCAACTTTCTCTACTACTCCAGCTGACTCATGGCCCAGCACCATGGGTTTTTCGAGGATAAATTGACCAATTCGGCCCCGTTGCCAGTAGTGGACCTAAAACAGGAGTTAATGCCAACCCCCTTGCTGTTATCTTTTCCAGTCGCAAGAATAAAGAAGGAACTTACATCACTGCCACATATCCCTGTGTATTCAATCCTCACGGAAACATCGTAGGGCTCTAACAAATCTGGCACCGGGCGATCCTCGAACTCGAGTTGTTGGACAGCTTTAAGGACTAACGATGGGTTCTGGAATGGTAATGTCAGGTAAGGGGTTGGAATGGACCTCGAGCTTTGAAGTGTCTCACCTGCTCTTTGTTGATCATTTTTTAGGGTATATTTGATCTAATATATATGTGGCTTTAGATGCTCCAGAAATAAAGAAAACAAAAACAGGCAGAAGCAGAAGGACCATTCGACCTGTCACATCAGGGGATCTGTCCTCTCTTTAAAGCTTTCATGTTGGGGTCAAATCTATTAGCAATTAAATGCGACATCTCTCTATACATAATGATGTTCGGCCTGTGGAGTGAGGGAAGTCATTCCCTCTCTACAATTGGCAGTATAAGAAAATGGCCTTGATCGGAATACACGGCGTTTTGGCCGAAGTGGAAGTGGATGAATGTGGATCTCCGGGGAGAGAATGTGGATCCACCGATGCATCCGGCCACCGAACTGCTTGGATGGGTTGGAAATCCAACGGCAAAAGACGGCGTATGCTCCGTCTGGTATGTTCACCGATTATTCTGGGGTCCAGTTCCATTGAACAGGATATTATCAGCGGTAACATTCTGAAGTGGCCCGACTCTTGTTCTCAAGTATTAAGTAGCATTGTAACTCCCGTAGAATCCTAGAGCAACCATTCTCCTACAAAGCAATACATCATGCAACTCCAACACAGCTACTATATCGGCGTTGATGTGGGCACGGGGAGTGCACGCGCTTGTGTCATCGATCATACTGGCGAGATAGTTGGATTGGCATCCGAGGATATTGCTCTTTGGCATTATGGACAGGTGTACTATGTGAGTTCCACCCCGTGTCCCCATGTGTCTGATGGGTGATGGTCGATCATTAACCTTGTATATTTGGTGATAGGAACAATCTACCACAGACATCTGGCGCTGCATCTGCCTAGCAGTTCATCGCGCGCTCGCCGAGAACAAAATCGACCCATCGCACGTCCGTGGTATCGGTTTTGACGCGACTTGCTCTCTTGCCGCCTTCTCCACCGATACCGATGAGCCAGTCTCCGTTACTGGCCCCGATTTTAATAATGACCGGAACGTGATCCTGTGGCTGGATCACAGAGCAGGAAGCGAAACAGATAAAATCAATGCAACTGGACACAAAGTGCTGAGCTATGTGGGAGGGAAGATGTCGATCGAGATGGAGATCCCCAAAATCCTGTGGCTGAAAAATAATATGCCGGCTGAGACATTTGCAAGGTACAAGTTCTACGACTTGGCCGATGCTCTCACTCATATTGCGACCGGTAGTGAGACGAGAAGCTTATGCAGTCTCGTCTGTAAGCAAGGATATCTGCCGAATGATCCTGAGAGTAGCGTGTCCGGCGGGTGGTCGGAGGACTTCTTCGAGACCATTGGGCTTGGTGATTTCAAGGAGAATAATTTCTCTACAATTGGGGGAAAGCATGGACTGGTGAGTTGAATCTATCAGAAGCGTGCCCGATGTTGGGTAGGCTTTTTCCAGCGGTGTCACGAGTGTCTAATGCATAGTTAAACAGAATGGCCAACATCTCCATGCAGGGGAGCTCGCCGGCTATCTATCCGAGAAAGCAGCCAAGGAGCTCGGTCTACCAATTGGCATCCCCATTGGCAGTGGCGTTATCGACGCCTATGCCGGCTGGATAGGCACGGTTGGGGCCAAGGTTGATCTCCCCAGCAACACCAGTGACAAGAGACAGGAGCTCTTTTCTAGACTCGCTGCGGTAGCAGGAACGTCCACATGTCACCTCGTTATGTCGCCGAATCCTGTTTTTGTGCCTGGAGTTTGGGGGCCGTATCGAGATGTTATACTTCCCGATTGCTGGATGGCCGAAGGAGGGCAATCTGCAACCGGTCAGCTGCTCAAACATGTCATTGAAACTCACCCGGCATATAATCAGGCGAAGGACCTGGCCGAAGTACAGAAGATCAATATTTTCGCGTTTCTAAACGAGCATTTACGAGACATGGCTGATAAAAACAACGCTCCTTGCGTCGCATACCTGGCACGGCATTTCTTCTACTACGGGGACCTTTGGGGCAACCGATCTCCCATGGCTGATCCAAAGATGACGGGTTCTATCATCGGTTTGACGAGCGATACATCAATCAACAGCCTCGCCATTATGTATTACAGCACGTTGGAATTTATCGCGTTGCAGACCCGACAAATCATTGAGAGCATGAATCGGTCTGGTCATCACATTACCTCCATTTTTATGTCGGGATCTCAATGCCAAAATGACATTCTAGTCAACTTGATTGCCTCTGCCTGTGACATGACTGTTGTGGTTCCGTTCTACGTGAATGCGGCAGTGTGTCACGGAGCTGCGATGCTGGGTGCTAAGGCTGCGACCGCGGATGCGAAAGGAAACACAGCTGATCTCGAAGAGATTATGGAGAAGATGAGCAAGCCAGGGAAATGTTTCTTCCCGACTGAGGATCAGAGAGAAAAGAGTTTACTGCAGGCAAAATACCATGTTTTTCTCGACCAATGTCAAAAACAGAGAGAATATCGGGCGTTGGTTGACCAGGCTCTGGCAAAGTGAGCCATGAGGACCATGAGTACACCAGTAGAATGAGGGACGTACTACACTAGCAGCTCAGTGGACAATGAATCAGAAGGCCACGAAGCGCATTATGGCGTTGGTAACACTGGTGTTGTGGCTTTAGTTAGGGTACGCATTGACGGCATATAACGGCGCTTTGTCCGTCGCCTGCGAGGACCCCATCAAACTCCAATGGCAGAAATTAATACCTATGAACGACCATTCTATACGATCATAGGATCTTTAAATGAGATCGGCTAATCTCTAATTGTTTACAAATATTCTATAGGCAGAAGAATTGGAACATAATGATAACGTCTATTTTTATGAGTGATCTTCCACAATATATATTAGAACTTGGCACCATTCTGTAGAAGCGAAAGTAGAGACCTGTCTACCACGAACCAACTCTTTTGTTTTATGACGAGACAATAAATTGACGAAAATTCAATCACCGATAGCCCGGAATTAATCGTGCTATATGGCAATTAGACATCCAATAACGTATGGGGTTGGAAGCCCGATACGCATGCGGCATGTAGCATGATAGCCGCTTGAATATATCACACCAGTTTAAGCCTATAAGTTATAACAAATATACTCCATGAAGTAAGATTTTTTTCTGAACCATTTGTGTTGTAAGTTCTCTGAAAAAAGTGAATAACAAAAAAGAAGAAAGAAAAAAGAACAAGCAGGGAATGTTAATGAAGATAGATACTGTTTTAGCAAACAAGAAGCAAAAAAGTCGTGCATCATCCGTGAATCGAACACGGGCCTCATCGATGGCAACGATGAATTCTACCACTAGACCAATGATGCTGCTGAGCTATTGGCTCTTGATGAAGGGTTTCTGATTAATACGCTCTATATTTCAAAACTAAAGGCCATGATAAAACTATAGGTGAGCTTCCAAGTATATCCCTCTTGTACAGTACATTTTCTAAATAGTGTTACAAGTATAGAGTGGTTGCAAAAACGGCGATACTGTACTGGGATGTAAAATACAGTCATATATACCTACAGCTGTACAGCTCGGATACCGCCGCTATTTTCAATTGCAAGGGTGCACCGGATGTCATGCCCTCATTCATTGCTTTTCTATAGAAAGGGTCAACTCGCCCATCTTAACATCCATGATGATCATCTCCCAAAAATATTTCGTAATCCTCCAAATCAAAACGAAGGAATGACTGCTACCAGCTACTACGGTCCTGACCCCAATAATCACCCTGACCAAAAAGAATTATCTAATATCTTCCGCAACCTGAAGCCCAGCACAGACTCTGCCTTTGTCCTGGGCTGCGATAGCGTCCTCCGAACTTTGACAATCGACCACAACGTACTAGACGCTATCGGCCTTCCACCCCGATTGATCAAAGCCTTTCTCGATCGGGGTCCATTTGACCCACGGATGGAAGATATGTATCGTGGAGTGGATGGAACCAAAGTATCCCAGGAGCAGTATCATGATATTCTGTAGTCCCAAGTAGAGAGAGGGAGATGATATTGCACAGTTACGCAGTTACTCAACTCATTCCTTCTCTAGCTATAGAGTAAAATCATGTCCTGTTGAAAGCATCATTATTAACTATCACTATGTACAGGCGCATTCCGAACAACAGGTTCCTTGGAGGGCATATCACGACCATCGCGCTCTCCTGCAACAGTAGGCTCCTCATCCAGTGCATACGTCCTCTTCCCGCCGCCTAGATCCGTCCTAATCAGAGCGTACCTCTTACTTAACTTCATCAGATGGGCCGCCCGTTCAGATGCGCTCCACGACGAAGTGTCTCTGAAATCGTCCAGCATCTTACTCTTGGCAATCCAGGGAAGCATTGAACCAATTGATCGGGGACTCCGGGGGAAATCAAATCTCCTCTTTCTTGTGATAAACACATACATGAGGACAAATGTGTCAAAGGCAATAATCAGGAAGACCACGATAAAAGCCGGTCGAACCGGAATAAAGGACATGAAGGTGTCGAAAATGGTAGCATCGGGGACCGACACGGACTTAGACAGGCGATTGAAATGAAAGTCACGATGCAACGTAACATCGGTCGCAAACACTGTCTGGTAGACTAGGGTTGCTGCCTCGATCAAGAGGTCGATATCGATTGTGGTTGAATTGCTCGTGTTCTTCTGCTTGTACACATGGGCTGCCAAGAGTCCGAACCAGTTTTGCAGTATTTTATGACGGTCCTTTGGAGGATAGTGGGTGGTATTAGCCTGAAGTGGATTCGCAAATGCTCTATTGTAATTAGCCAGGCTTGCAGTGACATTTGCCAGCATGGGGCCCTCCGTGATGGCGGTTCCGTTCATAGTATCATAGATCTCGACATATCCACGAAGGTCGAAGGTGGCAAGGAAGGTTTGGATCGTAGCACTGGACTCGCAGTACAGCGCGGCAATATTCTCTGGGGAAACTTCAGCAAGATCTGCCTCGTTTGATCGGGCAACCACGAGAATCCCAGGCCTTTGGCATAGGGGGTGTTTCTGGTCTGATTCGGTCGGGACGATGAAGTCGACATTAAAGGACGCTTTTGAGCTACTTAGGGCTGATTCTTGCGCACTGATTCGGCAGGTTGTATTTGGATGCCCGGATGGGGAATGCCACCAATAGGTCGGACCTGAAAGAATGTCTTCAGAATGGCTATTTGCCACAGAAAGTCGTTGGCAGGTTAGGTTGGCACCGATGCCGACTAATGGGCTGGTAGCCCATTGGTCTTCAGTCATGTTCGACTGCACAGGAAGCAAGGAGTGAGCTGTAGTAGTCCAAGGAAGTATAGATATGCCAGTGTAGATGCTACTCTGGAACAGATCGGCCTCAGCCAGGATCGAAGTGTGATTGCCGGCATTGTAGAATCGATCGTCATATTCCGATTCGACGATGTTACCGGTAGCCATCGGGGTGTATTCCAGGGCGAAGAGAGCGCTTGCAAGAATAGTCAGGATCGTGTTGAGAATACACGTCAAAGATACAAGACCAAGGAGCACATAACGACGATTGAAACATTTTAGCGCCACGGCAAATGGGCTCTGAGACCCATAGTCTAGGAGAAAGGAGGATCGAGCAGTTGCGTTTCCCTTTTGAAGTATGAACCAAGGCTCCAAAATAGTGAAGTTCTGGTAAACTGATATATACAATCCCCGTATGAGAGCAGCACTGACGGGAGGGAGCAACATCCATATACTTCTTAGGTCGCCTACTTTGATATCAGTCAAAGGTGGAAAATACCCATACAGCCAGGACTTCGAAATAATAACGAGCATGCCTCCCAGTGCGGCAAGGAATGCCGATATTTCTAGGATCAAGATAGGGATCATGAGGAAAGGGGGTGGAGGGTCGGCCCTTCGCCGAGATCTCTTTTGGCTTCGAGGAGTGGAGTCTGGAATACGTCAATATCAATCACATCGCTTCGCAGTTATCCCAGTTCAGCTGGACTTACCATCGGGGAAGGAGATAACCAGACGCTCTCCTTTAGGAGTTTCCCTCCAGCTACAGCTGCCTCTGCGTAGATAGGATCGAAGCTGCCGGGTCGACAACACTTCGAGTTCCATCTGGGACAGCTTCTCCAGGCTTGTAGCATCAATGACATCTGTAGCTATGCAACACATCGATGCGATCGAAGCAGGGTTGCCGCCTAGAAAGTTTGGTCGACGTGGGTATAGATAGAGGAGACTCGCAACAAGCAGCACTCCAAACGTCAAGATAACTGCCGATACGCGGACACTACTCTTTTGGACAATCAATGCAACCCGCTGAACGATACGGGTGCCCTTTACATGAACAGTTTGTCGAAGGTCAAAAGTACGGCTCATCAAAGGGACAAAGGACTGACTGATGGCTGCATCAACTTCAGACCATACGTCACCTTGGGATAGCATTCCGTACTGGTCGTCCATATTGTTGGTAGCGACTGCCATGCGCAGCAGTGAGCTGCTAAACTTTGCCGTATCAAAGCCAGTCTCCGACAGATTTGTAGCTGTATCCGATTGTACATCGACCAAAGCGATCGAGCCATTCGCGTACAGTGTGATCTCTGCCTCGGCCGTCATATAATCCACACTGCACCCAAATGGACTAAACCAGTCGGAGGTCTTGTTCGAACCATGTTGTGCGGCTAATACCGCATGATTCGCATGTACCGCTACCCCGACTAGGTCGAACTGTCCACAGAGCTTTGGGTTCTCATTCCATTGCAACAGCTTCCAATATTGTATTTGAGGAGTGTCTCTCTCTTCCTCTTGATCGGGCCGCGCGGTACAAGTCTCGAAAACCCCCGCAACATTTGCCAATCGAGTACCTCCTTGGTCTGACAGAAGAAGCTCAGATATGGGCAGTCTTTGCTGACCCCCTTCCATACGTGATAGATCAGCAAATACACCATCACTTTCGACGTAGGCGCACGACACATCTGCCCAATATACCGATTGATTGAGCCTCCACATGTCATCCTCGGATCCGCTATTCCAATATGTCTGAACCGGGGGCATCGCATATCTTCTGGATCCAATTACATCGCTAGTCGAATGGGCATGGTTGATAGAGAGGGCTTGGTTCGCCATATTGTGAAACGTCCAGTAGGCATGCGTGTCTAGATTGATGAACTTGGGCCACGTTTTTAGCGTTTGCGGGAAATGCATAGAGACTACCTCTGCGCTGACAAGGTTACCCAGGACTGCTGGGAGTATCAACTGCAACGAAATACTCAGGATTGACACGCACAGTGCCACCCAATGCCGGTTGCGGGCTGCCTTAAATGGGGTCGTTGTGAAATGGCCGAATACATAGTTGAGAAGTAGTGTGTCAGCGGAAGCACCTTTGGGGTTTGATAATAGGAAGTACGGCTCAAGTCGAAGAGCATCGTACTCGGTGAAGGACCACATGACACCTATTATGACACCCATCACCATGGGCACAAAGGTGTATGCCACTTGTTGTGCCGTAGCTATGTCTTCGGTTGAGCTAAAGATCGCGAGTCCGCCTCTTGCAGCACTACCCAGATAAATCCCTCCTATCGTGATCAACATTGTCAACATGAGCCCAGCCAGCGAGCCCAAGTAAATGCCGCGAAGTGTGGCAGGACGCCATCCCGGCGCTCGGTTTCTGTGTGGCATCCCGATATAATCCTTCCATTGTCGCTTGGTTTTGTTGTGTCCTTGATACATTAATTAACGAATTGCATTATGGATGCTGTCGGAGACAGCCGAATGAATCGCAGTGAAACGCCTTCGGTATAGGGAACATCGCCAGTGAAAATCCGTCATGGGTCGCAGCGGGACAGTCGCGTTTCCAGAGTAATCTGTGAAACGTTTCCAATAGTCCCTAATCGTTGTTGAATTCTCTCTCAGCCAGAAGGATAGTATTGACCAAGCTTCACCACATTCCCGGGCCGAGTAAAAGGGGCAGAGACGAAGGATAAAGCATATGACATTCAGCTTGGCAGGTGAGATTTTCCTGTGGCTTTACGAGGACCCTTGACTTGACAGGGTCTCGCCTCCATCCGGTGGAACCCAACTGCCTAAAGACCATGGCAATGAGTGGGTCTAGATAATTTCGTTGCCTCCCTTCCGTGCTCTTTCCTTGCCGTTGGTCCCCATATGAAAGTAACACAGTTGGATCTCTTGACGCTGTGAAGAGGTTCGAAACGAGCGGGTACACCGCTTATTGGCGATCATTTCGTAATTCAACCTGTTCTAGAGCCTCTTGGTTCGTTTTTGACTCATATCATCGTCAATGGTCAGGGCTCGGCGGCACTTGTGGCGGCGGTGCTGTTGGCTTCAAACTTTATTGATAAGCCTAATGAATTTAGCTTGAAACCACGCCTCTTTCAACTCGAATAAGGAACGGATCCCACTGAAAAATAACATCTTATTCCAGTGTCCCCACTGCTCATCCTAACCCCACTCTCAACTGATCAATGATTAATCGACTTGAGAATCCAAGTTTATGCCGCAGTTCAGTTAAAATTGGCCTGAGGTTGTAAAGCTTGCCTTCTAGGAGAGATTTCATTTCTTAGAGTGCTCTCACACACCAGTTTAGATGACAACTATCCGTCAGCAAGTAGGGCAACGACCTTAGTTAGTCTACACCCACCATACTCGATCAGGTAAACTGGAGCAGCACCGAGCTGAGCTTCTATAAACCCCTTGGAAATCAAATCACGTACAATTGAAGACGATTATTTTTTTTTTTTTCGGAGACAGAGAATAGACAATTAATAATGATGGCCGACTATCTACCTACCTCCCAAGTGCTATCACCAACTCGATTCTAAAATAAGATCTGCTGTATCCTTTGGGAGCTTCTGGCTTCTGGATAATGTACTACTGACCGAGCAATTTCTAGGTGACTAGATAGCCCACAATAGTCTATTCTATTCGATCAATCAAAATACAAAAGGCTATTCATTTCATCATGTAACGCATCTTTTGCCATTGTGAGATAGGTAATAGTATATCCTGATAATTTCAGCTCTTCCAAAATGCGCCAATATACAAGTTATAAACGACAAGTATGCTTCAACACTGTACAAACGCAATAAAGACTGCATGGATCTCATGTTAAAGGGAGCTCAATGCCATTCTGCTGCACGATATCAAGCCAGCCAACCCGTACAGCTTCCATCGTCGTCCTCCCGGTAATCCGCAGCCGCCATAGCTTCTCCAAAACTGAAAGCGCCACCTCTACATTCTTGAATCCACGTGACTCAATGATATCAAGCATTCGATGCCGAAGACTTTCCATATGCGATTCAGCTGTAGCTTCACCTCCCGCTAGGAAGGGCGGGAAAAGTAATGTGCATTCTGGTAAGCTTCGCGGTGGTATTTGCGAAATGCTGTCCACAACGGATGCTACCTGTATAGTGGCCTTGGACGACAGTTCGTCCCTTTGCATGGGGAAAGCTCGTCGCATCACTCGGTAAAGGTATATTAGGGCGGAACTGCGGTAGGATTCAGCGAGTTGGCGCGGGGATGGATCGGGTGATGGGGGACATGTCCTGTCTTTCAGCCGAGTTTTGAGGGAGAGCATCCTTCTTAAGAATTCGGGTCCTTGAACTGAGCCCACTGTATTGACAGACATGATACCGTCGTCATTATCAGTCAAGAGAAGCTGGCTCGTTAGATGCCTTCACTTCTTGGTTCAGTGTGGCTGTATGAAAGGGCATCTCAAGGATCTCGGATGTGAGGCCAAGATGTGAGCCAGGCATTTGTGTTTCATCTAGTAGAAGGAATTGATGTGATTTTAATAATGGTGCTCGGTCACGTGCTACTGCTATTGCAGTTCAGAGAATAATCAAGCGTGAAAATCTCATTGAGCGCTGTGCATATATGGGACAGAAGCCGGGGGCTCTCCTGAGAGAGGAAATCGGACCTCTCCCCTTTGTAGGCGACATTCGAGGTCGAGGTCTATTTTGGGCAGTCGGGTTTGTACTTGATAGGAAGGAGAAGACACCTTTCCCTCCCCAAGCCAGGTTCTGCTCCCAGATCATGAAGAAGAGCATGGATACGGGGTTAAATATTCTTGGAAACGTGGGGCACACAGGAAGATACCAGGTGGATCATATTCTGGTCTGTCTACCTTATGCGGTGACAGACAGCGAGTTAGGAGAGATTGTTTCGCTTCTCAAAATGGCTATCGCGGACACAAGTTGGCCATTTCTTGGTGAACAGAGGACAATTGTTGAGGGCAAGCCTTAGTTGAGCTGTGAGCATTGCCCAGTTAAAACTGTATATGGGTTTTACGGAGCAAGTAACGGCACATGGCCAAGTTAGCACTTAAGAAGAGCGATAACTCAGAGGTCAGAAACAAGCATAGTTAAAGTCCATTCTTACAGAAGTACGCATCGCCAGGCAAGCATATAGTAGCCAAGCAAGTGCAATTGAAATCGGCTTTCAGGCTACTGCTTCAAAATTGGCTATTGCTTGATAACTGGACCCAGACCGTAAACATGAGGTATTATCGGTCGACATGCCTCAAGAGAACTTTCGAGATGTTATTATGAATCACCTTCTGCGTAACCACGGTGCTATATATGGGTCGTTGTTGATCTTATTTCTGTAGCTCTTCCGCCATGTTCCTCGTTCATGGGATGGGGGAAGCAACAGTCGCTTTATAATGATAAAGGAGGACAAGCGCTGCTGATAGTCTTGTAAAATCTAATCAATCAATTCTCCGAGTGTAGAAACACACTCCCATAAGCTTCATTATGTCTCGCAGTTATACATCTTGTTCTGTCCTTCTAAACAAGGGAATATCTGATGGTCTTCTCTATGAGGCAGTCGTATGGGGGTTTTGATAGTTTGCGTGGTCCTCCCCTTGGCAATAAAAGAAGGTGAGCCCAAAATAACAATCCCACAGTCGGGCAAATTGTGGAGACCCAGACATAGGGCTACCTAGTTTCCCCGAATGCGTTATTATGTATCAATCAAATGACGATCTTTGAATGATCTCTATGGGCCTAGGAAAGCGAGTGATCACGAATAGTATGTATGCCTATAAAGAGGTCGAGAACCATCATTTGATTACTAGAGTCAACAGGCACATGATAAAGGATATGATAGTAGTATGTAGAGGATTATACTATCAGATATTAGAGAATAGTTGCACTCTGGCGGGATATATTTGCCGATTTTTCCGTCTTCAGGCGAAGTGGATATTGATCATGATTTCCAAGTGAGGCAAACGGAGTTAATGCCCGAAGTTCCCTGAAAAAGGAAAGTAGGGCAAACAGCGCAAACAGCGCCTCACGTGTCAGGGTTTTCGGCAGATGCCCTGTGGATGATCACCCGAATGACATTTAGTTGCATGTATCCTTATGGATGACATGCAGATGTGGTTTGATACATATACTATCAACGCCACAGTAGTCGGTCCAATCGTGCTTGATCAGATAACCCCGCGGCATCTGACCGTCAATTCCCCCGCAACAATGTGATGATGGCATGGTTCTCGTTCCGGCGGACGACGAGAAGCTTTCTTGAAGAAACAACCAGATGTGTTACTAGGTCACTCCAAGATTTGTTGAGGAGCTTACCAAGATCTATGGTCCACCATCCTCTAGGAACGGGAAGGACGAAAGCAGCTTGGCGGACCCATGATGTAGTTTGCACCCCTCCTCAGTTACTACGATGGGAAAAGTTATTTTCTTGGATCTCCAACTTCTCGGGGAAATGGGGGATCTTCGGAGAATTGCGCGCAGTGCGTCCAACGTGCTCTTTTCATTGAGGAACGGTGTATGGAGTAAACAAGACACAAAGTATAGTCTACCCCCGTGGATATGGTGGAATGGGGTGTTTCGCCGACATTATGTACCTTCTCCAGGGGTACTATCCCGCATGCGGCCCATACTTCATTTATTGCCCCGGCCAACAACCGACAGCACACGAGAGGGAGTACGAATTGAGAATACTACTTAAACGCTAAATCTTCTACCCGACAGCGGTTTTGGAACTTTGCAATCCGTTCGCTTCTCCCATTACATCGCCATGAAGCTCTCCTCAACCGCGGGTGCCCTGGTCACCAGCCAGGCAGCCTACGCTGCTTCCGCCATCGACTACAACGCAGCTCCCCCAAACCTTTCAACTTTGGCTAATGGCTCTCTGTATGACACATGGAGGCCCAGAGCTCATATTCTCCCACCAAACGGCCGAATTGGCGACCCGTGTGCTCATTACACTGATCCTGACACCGGTCTATTCCACGTTGGTTACCTACATGATGGCAATGGTATCTCGGCCGCCACGACCGATGATCTGGTCAAATTCCGGGACTTGAATCCCAATGGAAGCCAATCTATCATGCCCGGCGGCAAGAATGACCCTGTAGCGGTCTTTGATGGATTCGTAATCCCGAAGGGAATTGACGGCAAGCCTACCCTTCTCTACACCTCCGTCACATCACTCCCTATCCATTGGTCGATCCCCTACCACCCGGGGGCCGAAACCCAATCCTTGGCTGTCACCTCCAATGGCGGTCGCAATTTCACCAAACTCGATCGTCCACCAGTCATTCCCCTCCCTCCGTCGGATAGTAATGTGACCGCTTTCCGTGACCCTTTCGCTTTCCAAAGCCCCGAGTTGGACGCCGCCGCCGACAGTGCCCCAGGTACCTGGTACGCAGCCATCTCCGGTGGTGTCCACGAAGAGGGCCCTGGTCAATTCCTCTATCGCCAGGACCAGAAGGAAATGAGCCTCGAGAGCTGGGAGTATCTTGGCTTGTGGTGGCAGGAGAAGGTCAACACGACCTGGGGTAACGGTGACTGGGCTGGAGGATGGGGTTTCAACTTCGAGACTGGTAACATCTTCGGCCTGAACGAAGAAGGTTACAGCCTTGATGGTGAGATATTCCAGACCTTGGGTACTGAGGGATCTGGAACTCCTATTGTGCCCCAGGTGTCGTCCATTCATGATATGCTGTGGGCAGCCGGCAGCGTGTCCAACGACGGAAATGTTACTTTCACCCCAACCATGGCCGGTGTGTTCGACTGGGGTGCTTCTGGATATGCTGCCGCTGGTCATGTTCTGCCCGCAACCTCCCAGGTGTCCAAAAAGAGTGGCGCCCCCGATCGTTACATTTCGCTTGTCTGGCTGACTGGAGACCTGTTCGAGCAGGCTAAGGGTTTCCCCATTTCGCAACAAAACTGGGTTGGCACCCTTCTGCTTCCTCGTGAGCTGCACATCAAGACCATCTCCAACGTGGTCGACAATGAGCTTGCACGGGAAAGTGGATCCTCTTGGCGTGTGGAGCGTGGCCAGTCTGGCATTGAGCTGAAGACCCTGGGAATTGACATTGCTCGGGAGACGCGCGAAGCTCTTCTGTCTGGACCCAAGATCACGGAGCCTGAGCGCACGTCGAAGGAGGCTGGCCTCGTGCCTTTCCAGGTCTCCCCAACTACCAAATTCTATGTCTTGACCGCCCAGCTGTCTTTCCCTCGCTCTGCCCGTAACTCCGATCTCCAGGCCGGATTCCAAGTGCTGTCATCCGACCTCGAAAGTACCACTATCTACTACCAGTTCTCCAACGAATCGATCATCGTCGACCGCAGCAACACCAGTGCTGCAGCAAAGACCACTAATGGAATCGTCAGCACTAATGAGTCCGGTCGTCTCCGGTTGTTCGATCTGCAGGGCGATGCCGAGGAAATTGAAACTCTGGACCTTACCATCGTTGTGGACAACGCTGTCCTTGAGGTCCACGCCAACGGACGCTTTGCCCTGAGTACTTGGGCTCGGTATGTATTCCTTGATAGTCGGCAACATGGCATTGGCTAATGATCTTTCGCAGTTCTTGGTACGAGAACTCAACCGACATCAAGTTCTTCCACAATGGTGTGGGTGAAGTGACATTCAGCGATGTCACTGTCACTGAGGGTCTGTTTGAAGCCTGGCCGGAGCGTGTCTAATGTAAGACAATAATGCGATGGGATGCCCATAGGGATAGGTTTGCTTGTATATATCAGCTGGGTGTCATGGGAAGCAAAATCTGGAGTTGAGCTAATAATTATGTAACCTAGTTAGTTCCCTGTAATTAATCTGGTTGTGCATTTTGAGCATCTGTTTGGCACTACCACCAGCGGGCTCCAGGCTGCCGATGAGCTCGGGAAGCCGAGCCCGGCAAACCACCCTGTCGATATTCTCACCTTCCGCCGGAGGTCTGGATACCATGTGCAAATGTGCCCAAATAACATTCCAATATTTATTAAAGAAATCTTCATACCCATGACTAGCTTTGATGCCTGAAGGGAAACAGCATGAAAATAAACTTCTGATCGTCATGTTCACCTAATCATTAAGCTCAAGCCGTGCCGTCCGTCCACGAGCGTCATCTTCCACGACGGTGACTATGACGCACACATGAACTGGAACAAAATTCGCTCATACATTTAACAATTACTCCATAGCCGGACCGGCCGATCATTACGTTTATTTTGTCCCTGTTCCTGTTGCCTGAACGCCGGCGGAACTGTATATTGACCGGAACCGATCATTGAAACGCGAAGTTCCGGCGGAACCGAAGACCCTCAACCCCATGGGCAGACTTCTCCAGGTTTCGACTCCGGATTATGATTGTCATTTTGGACTAGTGTGTGGTGATAATCCACTCAAGGGATCGCAATTGTGGAGCTAGAATGACTATGTATTCTTGGGTTACACTTCCTTGGAGAGTGGAGAAGGTTATCCTGGGGTATTGCACGATTAGTATAAAACCACCCACGGACTCCCACGTGTAAGATAGGTACTCTTATGTGTCCATATCGTTCACTTGTTTCATATGATTAATGCACAGAAATGGCTAAGGGTAGATTCAGTCAGCCGTACTTTGGCTTGAAAGGAGGATGGTTGACGTTCTGGGTAACCGTTGCATGTGCAACGGATATGATGTTGTTCGGTTATGATCAGGGTGTTTTCGGTAAACCTCTCCTCTATTCTCTTTTCAATGTGACTAGTCTTTAACGAATGCGGTTTCCTTGAATTCAGGTGGCGTCATCGTAACAAAAGACTTCCTTGACGTACTACACCTTCACAACAACGCCAGCCTTGTGGGAACAGTCACGGCTATTTACGATGTTGGCTGTTTAGTCGGAGCCATAGCTGCGATGTACGTCGGAGAAAAATGGGGCCGCAAAAAGACCATCTTATTCGGAACGACAATCATGTCCATTGGCGCTGTTCTACAGACCGCAGCCTATGGTGTGCCTCAGATGATCGTCGGCCGGGTAGTCGCCGGGATTGGAAACGGTATTAACACGGCCACGGCCCCCGTGTGGCAGGGCGAGACTTCACAGATTAAATGGAGAGGAAAGCTCGTGATCATTGAAATGATCCTTAATGTTGCCGGCTATTCGCTCTCTAACTGGATGACCTTCGGGTTCTCCTTTGTGCCTGGACCGGCTTCATGGCGGTTCCCACTTGCCTTTCAATTTATCTTCATTTTTGTCCTTTATGCTACCGTCCCATGGCTTCCCGAATCGCCTCGTTGGCTGCTTAGCCACGATCAAACGGAGAATGCACAGCAGATCATCGCCGACCTGGAGGACAAAGATGTCCATGATCCTCACGTCATTGCAGCCTATACCGAGATCATCACCGCGGTACAATATGAACGCGAACACGCTATCTCCTGGAGTGATCTCCTGCGCGGCAAGACCGGAGACCAGGGTGGTACCTGCGTGATCCGTCGTCTGATACTAGGAGCCGGCGCACAAGCCATGCAACAGCTGGCTGGTATCAACGTCACATCATATTACCTGCCAACGGTGTTAATGGAATCCGTCAAACTATCCGAAACGCTATCACGACTCCTTGCTGCCTGTAATTCCGTCTCATACCTAATTGCTAGCACGCTAGCCATTCCTAAGATTGACGGCTGGGGTCGACGGAAACTCATGATCTGGTGCGCCTTAGGCCAGGGAATCTGCTATTTGATGATCACTGTTCTACTCCGATTCAGCGAGAAACCAGACTATCCACACCAGACTCAGGTGGCAGCTGCAGCAGTCGCCTTCTTCTTCTGCTACTATCTGTTCTTCGGATGCAGTTACCAGGGTATCGGATGGCTCCTCCCAGTGGAACTAAACTCCCTCAGCATGCGGACGAAGGGAGCTGCGCTTGGTACGGCGACAAACTGGGCCATGAATTTCATGGTCGTCGAGGTTACTCCAGTCGGTATCCAGAATCTGGGATGGAAGTTCTATATTATCTGGACCGTCTTCAACTTTTCTTTCATCCCTATTGTCTACTTCTTCTATCCTGAGACTGCCAACCGCGCGCTGGAAGATATCGATATCTTCTTCCGCGAGAATCATAGTATCTTCGTCAATGGGAACCCGGAGGCCATCAGCGTCGCACGACCGGCACGGTATATTGAGATGGAGCAAGCTCTCACAGACCAAAGTACCTCTATCTCGAAGGCAAAGCAGATGCTAAGCCATGATGAGGGACAGATCGAGTATCATGAAACTGTTTAAGTGGTTTTCTCATAGTGTATATTTGTGTTGTATCTTACCCCATGTACTTGTGATTTTAGCCTAGCCAGAGAGAATTAGGCAACGAATTTATGGAGCTCACGATTTCTTCAAGTTATTTCCTTCAAATGCGTCTCAGCTTCACTGTTATGATGAAAAGTATTTCCTAGCGGATGGTCTTCATAGACCCCCTCCCACTCACCATAGTTGTAAAGTCCCTAAAATAAATGTGTCCCTATTCTGTACTCCTCCAACCACCCGGGGGAGGGGGAGACTGGGGTAATAATGTGTAAGAAATACATTAGGTACATAAGACGAGTTCCTGTATGACTCAAGGTTTGCAATGGTGGACAAGGGACCTTGAGATGTGTCTATCTAAGTACAGACTGGCCCACCTTATCCTAGTTTTCCAATGGCAGGCATTTTATAATATATGCTAAGATAGAATGGATATCAGAGTCAACTATTCACTATCCCACGCCGCTGTTTTCCACGCTTGCTCATTGCCGGGCCAGTCAAAGCTTCCTAGCTTCAATACTACTTAATCCAAACCGATGGACATATCCCGTACCATTCCTTCACCTTCTCAAACCCCAAGACCATCCTATAAACTAAAGCCCATGGAAGTATTTCCAAAATGTGTACGTGTGAGCACCACATAGTAAATGATTCGTAACTAGTGTAACACCAATACTTATACATTCGTCGCACTGTAGGGGTAATATTTCGGCCTGAGATTTATATTGTATGCCGCGATAAGCGTAGAATATCGAGATAATGCACGAGCTCGGTACTGACCACTTCCTGCAATAGAATGTGCGTATGTTGCTTCCAGTACTAGATATGAGGAAACCTTTCCATGTCGTATCTCCAATTGCGCCTACATTTGTAAAGCTCTGCCTCTCCTGTACTCCCGCTCCTCCACTGAGAGACGAGCGAAGTCACCTATAATACAGCATTCTTTATTAATCTAGGGAACGCAGCAACACGCCAAAGCATGAACGTGTCAAAACATACCCATACTGGCAAATAGAGGCTTATTTACCTCCCTGGAATACTACCGACATGATCTACCGCCGGAGGATAGAGCCCCTAAATCCTTCGCTTATAGAATAGTCTATAAAGCTACTGCGGTTATTCAACTCTATCAAGATAGCTTTTGATAGATTGAACTGATAGTGTAATTTTGAAAACTGTCCCAATAGAACTACTACAACTGTCGGCCTATTACAACCAAAGATGAAATTGTCAAGGGTAGTGAAAGGAGATGTGCAAGATAGCTCAAACCAAGCTATCTCTAGAAGATTAGAAGAGAAAAGATATAAAAAGAAAAGAAAAAGAAAAAGAACAAAAAAAAAGAAAGAAAGAAAGAAAAATGAAATCCAAAAATAAAAAAAATAAGACGATTCACCATTAACCCTAAATACGAGAAAAGATCGTTCCAAACCCACCATCTCGTAATAGACCCATCGGTGCAGCGTCTCGGCCGTGGAGGTTGGAAAAAGTGTGGGGAAAAGAACCCAAAAATCGGGACAAAAATCGCTCAAACTCCAAACAATCATCCGACTCTTACATGAAATTAAACCCACCATGGCCTCGGATCACCCCTCGGTTGAGGATCTAATTGATCGCCGGACAAGACAAGTATCAACAGACAGCCCACGGTCAACAAGAAGCAGAAGACATCTACGATCGTCGTTACCGACTCGGGTGAGCAGTGCCTGTGAACGATGCCGTCTACATAAATCTCGGGTAAGCCGATTTTCCTTCCTTTTCCTCGGCATTGAAGAGTCCTGCTAAAGACGACTGGGGGGATTATTAATATGATTACAGTGTGACCCTTTCCGACCGTGCACGCTTTGTGTAAGAGCCAATGTGGATTGCCAGGCTTTGCCGGCGCAGCAGAAGAATGCTGCTCGAAAGTAAGTTCGTGGAATTCCTTCTCGGCTTCAGGGTGGCTGATGTGAATGCAACGTTGCGGGTGCAGCCGAGTGGCATCCCGACGTACGTTGAGGAATCCTCGGCGTCAGTCGAAGCCCCCACGCCTGGACCAGGCCGAACAGCCGCCGGATCGTGAGGACAGTCCTCGCCATGAGGTGGAAGTGCCGGACGCTAATGCGCCTAGTGTTGACTTCCTTCCGGCGGATGAACACAGCGCCCGCTCAGCCATCGACTGCGGCGAGGCCGAGTCGGCCATGGGCCTGGCGCGGAAGATCTGTGAACTTGGGAGTCAACACATCGACGAGCGAACGACGTTTGCTATTCCAGGGTACCGAGCAAGTACCAGTGCGCCTGTCGCGCAGTCCGCCGTGGCTGGCCAACGGCTCCCCATATCCTCGATCTTGGACCAGCCGTTACCCGTTGGGGAGTTGATGTATGAACTGTTGGAGGAGTATTTCGATGCGATCCATTGGTTCTCACTGGTAGTCTATGAACCCAAATTCCGCCGACGACTGCGCTCGATCGAAGATGGCTCGGCCTACCCATCACAGAAGCCGTTTCTCTTGCTGCTGGCGGTCATGCTCGGAATGGCCGCTTGGTACCGATCACAACGGAATCGCGACGCCGAGGACACCAGGGATCATTGGCGGCAATGGAGTGCCGATCTCATAAAGATCGTTGAGGCGAACCTGGTCGAATTGATGGACCAGCCTTCCGTGACAGCCGTACAGACCTGCATCCTCCTCGGATCCCACCATGTCTACCATGGCCGACCAAACCTCTCCTTCGCGCTATTAGGCGCAACAATCAAAATGTCTCAAGCGCTGGGCATGCACCGGGAACCCGTCCAGGGCGAATTCGGAGACATTGAAGAAAGAAAGCGAGTATGGTGGACGATCTACACATGGGACCGGTTTGCATCCATCACCTACGGTCGGCCTTTGGGCATCAACGACAAGGATTGTAATCTCAGCATGCCCGCTGACACGTTAGAGAACCCATGCTTTACCACCCCGGGATCAGGCGACCATAACATGATATGCTATTCCGCGTACCAGCGCGAGTTAAACCGCCTCTACCTGATCGCCTCACCGGCGCTAGAGGCGGTATTCGGTTCACGTACCTTTCGTACATCCCAACAGCTAGCCGGAAATACATATGCTTCTCTGGTCAAGCATGCCACTCAAGAGCTGCAACGATGGCGAGTCTGTCTTCCGGCTCATTTAGCATTAGACCTCGAGCGAGACTACCATCCAGACGGAGAACCCGGGTCCAGGGCACACGCGTTACAGTCATTATCATTGCAACTCACATACGACAACGTCCTCATCGTCCTCCATCGACCGCTACTCGCACGACAAGTCGACCATCTCACCTCGACCACACGACCACCGCACGGCAGCAGCGACGGCGGTTCACCCGCATCCCATCCAGCCGCTGCATCCTCTGGCCACTCCACCCCAGGCCTATCTTTCGAGGCCCCTTTCCCCACCGCACAAGCAGCAGCCAGCTCAGATCTATGGATGAACGCAGCCGTGCGAACAGCCCGCGTGACAGAAATGCCTGTCCTGGCCCAGCTAGCAACGGACAGCCACCTCGTCGCCTTCCTCGCAATCAACCTCTTCAACGCTGCCATCGTGCTGGTCGTGATGGCCCTCTCCGAACCCCTGTCCGATACCGCGCAGGTCGTCAAACGGACCATCACACGCATCCTCCGTCTCCAGGACCTCATCGGGACCCGATCAGCATTGTCCAAACAGAGTACCAGCGTTCTAAAGAACGTGGTTACAATGCTCCTCCGTCGCGAGTCGGAGGTCATATTCGGGCCCATCACCGCATACCCCCAGAGACTGGGACATCATGTCACGCAGGATCCGACCAGCCTTGGCCGCATGTCAGTCGAGGATACGTTGCGACTACCCTTAGACGGAACAATAGGGCTGTCCGATCCAATAGTGGGCAATCATATCCGGCCTGATCCTGGCCGGGCGGTTCGGTTGAATGAGAGTTTGACGACTGTTCACCATGGTAATTAATTATCTTCTTTCGACAAAACTTAGATAGTCCGATGCTAATGTGATCTCCTGATTAGTTCTACCACCCGGGAATGACCGCTCCGTCAATATTCTCTCCGGCGAAAGTCACCAGACTCATCAGGCGCCCAATGAAAATACCGAGTCCCAATTCCCCTTACAGGTCCCGATGGACTATGGTTGGGATGGTGCTGGCGCTGTCCCAATGGGGGTGGAAGACCCTTATCTAGGGAATGGTGAAAGTGGGATGTATTGGTTATGGGATATGACATGGGATGGAATGGGCGGTTAAGACATGAGGAATTCTTTTCATTGTATTATTCTTTTTTTTTATTATACAGCTCTATAGATCTATATCCACTGTATACCATCCAAACCAACGGATAGATACTATACTGAAGCTTGCTTTGCAGCCTCGACATCAATGTCCGGTCCGTAAATCACACTCTTGATACCCCCCTTACCAGCGACATGCTTGAACGCCTCCTCGACCTGCGAGAAAGAGAATTCATGAGTGACCAACCCATCGACCTGTACCCGCCGCGAGTTCAGTAATCCAATGGCCAGCTTGAAATCCCCCGGACCGTACCGGAAGCTACCCTTGAACACAGCCTCTTTGTCGCAGATTTGCCCAACGGGTAATGACAGGTTGGGTCTACCAAGTCCGACTTGCACGAAGGTTCCACCATGCGCCAGCGCATGAATACCACAGTTGATACAGGGCTCGGCACCCGAAGCATCGAGGACAACATTAGCACCATCGATTAGTCCCGCTGTAGCTGCGAGGGCATCGGCGTTTAACTCAGGGGACTTCTCCGCGCTCATCTGGTAGGTATGTGTAGCCCCGTACTTCCTTGCCGACTCGAGTCGAGCAGCAACGATATCCACGACCACCACCGTCGACGCACCGAACGCGCTCGCCACAGCGCAACAAAGCAGTCCGACCGGTCCCGCGCCGAAAACAATAACCGACTTATCTTGCAGATCGCCCGCCAGTCGACATCCGTGTACTGCGACCCCGAGCGGTTCGACCAGTGCGCCATCACGTAGCGAGATGTGTGCCGGCAACTTGTAGCAGCATTCAACCGGCACGCTGTAGTATGTGCACAGCGTTCCATCATATGGGGGAGTTGCGGCAAAACGCATGCCCTTGCACAGGTTGTACCGACCACTGCGACATGGGTTGCAGGTATTGCAGGCGACTCCGGGCTCAATCGCGACGCGGTCGCCAACTTCAATGCCGGATGCTTCGACGCCACAGGCTACGACTATGCCTGAAGACTCATGGCCGAGAATTATGGGGTTTTCAACCACATAACGACCGATGCGACCGTGTTGCCAGTAGTGGACCTGTTCCATTGTTAGTTATTATGATATCTTGAGGATGACTGGGTGTGTCGGCTGGTTACATCGGAGCCACAGAGACCGGTTGCGACAACTCGCACAATCACATGTCGATCAGACTCTAATGAAGGCCTCTCTCTATCTTCATAGTAGAATGAGCCGCCAGGGCGAAGTACAGAAGCTTTATTGACTATCTGTGAGATTGGTCAGTGGATGCAAGAAGATCAAGATTGATCGACATACGGGATGTGTATCTGTGGCCATTTTGCTCCTTAAGCTCCAAGTACTGTATGCGAGAATGAATCTGGAAGAATGGAAAGTCAAGAATTGAATTGCATGATTTTCAATCGCTGAAGGGCCTGATTGAAATAAGTAGTGTCGTATGTGTACGTTGGCCTGATCACGGTTCCGGCGGAACATCCACCTGGGCCTTCGATCACTTCGGTTCCGGTCTCATAACTCTAGGGTCCAGCTTGGTTGGTACCTGCGGGGTTGTGGGGGATATGGGGAACCTAGTCTGAACTTTTCTCTCTAGGCTTTGGTTCCTGCCGCGGATCCTTTACTTTGTACTTAAGTTGGCGTATGTATGCCTACTTGTCTCTCACTGCGCACAGAAAGGAGCCATCGCACTCGCCAGATTCATTCAATCTCGCGTATGTTCTCAAAGAGGCGACGAGAGGAACACCAAATCATGATGCCGAGTGATTCCATTCTATTATACGTTTTTTAATCGTACAGCTTTTTATACAAGGACAATCCATTTAGGCCTTGGTGTAGCGCAGGTAGGGCTTCAGCTCCCGGACCTCGCCGAACTTCTTCTTCGCATCTTCAGTCGACACGGAAGGGGGCACAATCACGTCCTCTCCGACCGTCCAGTCGATGGGAGTCGCAATGCCCTTCTTATCCGCGGTCTGCAAAGCGTCAATGACACGCAGCACCTCGGCGGAGTTTCTGCCAGTCGAGGCCGGGTAGAGCATGGTCAGACGGATCTTCTTGGCGGGGTCGATGATGAAAACGGCACGGATGGTGAAGGGAATGCCCTTCTCGGCAATGTTGTCAAGGTCCCGCTGGTCGATCATGTCATAGAGGAAAGCGACTTTACGGTCGGGATCGGCGATGATGGGGAATTGGACGTTGGTTTTGCCGATCTCGTTGATGTCTTTCACCCATTCGCCGTGGGAGTCAAGTTTGTCGGCACTCTGTAGGCAAAAAGGTCGCCGTGGTCAGTCTGGTACCGTTTTAGCATCGCATGGGATTCACGCCCTAGCTCACCAGTCCGATCATCTTGACGCCGCGCTGGTCAAATTCACCCTTCAATCTGGCAAAGGCGCCAAGCTCAGTAGTGCAGACGGGGGTGAAGTCGGCGGGGTGAGAGAAGAGGATCGCCCAGCTGTCGCCGATGAACTCGTGGAAATCGATCTCGCCATGGGTGGTCTGGGCCGTGAAGTTCGGAGCTATGCCAATGGTCAACTATGAACCTCCATAGAATCAAGCCATCCATACCAGTGGATCCCAGACGCAGTCGGGGCTGCTCTTGGGGAATGTTGGAGACGAAGCGGCGAGCGATGGGCTGCGCCAGAGGCTGAGCGCGGGGAAGCTTGGAGGCGAGGGAGACCCTGGGGAGGGCAGCAGCCCGGGGAAGGGCAGTGAATGCTCGGAAGCCAGCACGAGGAAGGATAGATGCCATTGTGAACTGTGAAATTTAGAGTTGAGAGGGTCAATTGAGGTTGAAGTTGGAAAGAATGGCACAAGAATTCATGAATGAGTTGGACATTCCATGGTCTTGGAGCTAAGCTGCTTAACTTGCCGATTGCGTGATTGCGTCAAGCGGCAGATCTCCACACTATTCCCTTTTCGGTCGGACTTGGCACGTGGTGGTGTTACGGCCTCAGGCATGATTTATATTCACCCGGTGCTAGAAAGATGGCCATTGTTTATTCTAACTTATGGATACAGACTACTATATGTCAACATTTCGAAGTAATTAGTCTTCGGCTCAAGATATCTCTATTTTGTTGAAGAGCAACAGCATATACAGGAAAACCTTCGTATTCATTCCTTCCTGGGTGTAAAGAGGAAATATATACATTCACCAGCCCTAAAAAATAATACGTCTCCACCCTCCGTCGACCCTGGAACATGGGCCAAACTATGTCCTTTGAGCAGATGCTGGGTAAGTATCTCAGCGAAATCGCCGAGTCGGGCATTGGCGGCCCGCCGCAGTATAATGAACCGTACGTTATCTCTCTTTCCCCAGAAATGCTGACTCGCGTTTCCCAGCTCCTCACGCAATATGATATAGCTTGGATATGGACCTTCCCATCCTCGAGCTCTTAGAGTCAACCACACAAGCCAACAAGTTCCTCTACCCGGGTTATGGATCTCGGGATCTGTGGGTCCGCATCGTCGAGCAGAGTGCGCCCGGATATCTGGAACTGGAGGCCCAAGGGAGGGAGGTGGAATTTGAGTTGGATGATCTCCTAGTGGTCAATCCTTGATGCTCGTTGGTTCTGGAGCGCACACAAGTTCGCTCCGTGGCTGGTGCGCTCTTTCACGGTTTTGACTGTCATGTAAAACCCTAATCTTATGCTCCGAGAGATCTGAGCCAGCAGAATTATGCAATATATCACTACCCTCAAGGCAAAAGGAAGATCATTTCCAAGGCTTTTCTTCCCCTTGATTTCCATTGTTTAATCCACAATTTCTAGGCGTCAACACGCTTTTTGCGATTACAGAGGCGTATAAACGACAACTGTGCATACGCAAATATCAAATCAATATCACTCGCTCAATCGCCAAGGCTCATCATACTTTATCTTTTTTTATTTATTATTATTTTTTTTTCTATCTTTTTATCTATTCTCTCTCATCCTCATTCTCTTGCGTCTGCCCATCGGAGTCGGACAAAGTCAGTCCAATCCAGAGCGTTCAGTCAAAGGGAACGGGGTCCACAGTTGCATTTCTGCCAGCCTGTCTATCAGCACTCTCGGGCTCCCTATTGATAATGTCGTTTGATATGTTCGTTTGATGTTCGCGTATTTCTGGACCAATTCATAGATAAGCTTTGCTATTGTCTGGAATTATCTACCAGCCCTAAACCCTATCGTGGCTCCAACAAATGATGTAGTAGTAAGTACTTCCACGTTGCTCTGTGGCGGGTTTAATATCCTCGATTTTACTTTCCACTTAGAAAGCTTAATTGAATAACTATCGAGTTCTATCCTTCCCACGTCAGCCTCACACGAGTAGTCTCACTACAGTTATCAAACCAAGCCGCGGGATATCTGGGGCTAAATGACGTCACCGTACTATATCGTAGGCAGCCAAGTTAAAAAACATCAAACGAACAAAAGACTAGACTGTAACTTTTGTGGGTCGCTCTTATTGCTTATAGCCTTATCGGGCCAACCTCCGTGCGATGAAGCACTATTTGGGCCTGACGGTTCACGTGGCTCCGTCTGGGCTGGGCCAGATTTAGTCCTGCCCAGTACTTTTAACCCTATAATACTATCATGACTACTAAAGAGACAGTCGGACACCTGAACTGGTGAGATCGACACTGCAACTTCCAATGGTATTCTCCGAATGCCCCCTTGTAAATGTAGGAACTGAGACTTGATTTTCAAAAAATAGTAACACAAAAAGTCATGTGAGGTTAGGCAGCCAAACCTCAGCCTCAGAAATGACTCAGGTTAGCCTGAGGCGGCAGATGAGGCTGAACATGTATAAATACGACTCCAGGATCACCACTCTCCTCATCGGGTTCTTGTACCAACTACCTACTTTTGTCAGCCGCTACACGCCGTGGGTGGCCGTGGGAAATTCTCCCCGCCCCTCGTCTTTCTCACCATGGAGCCTTCGTCATCGTTCGGGAAGTTCTTCTACTTCTCGTATTTTGCCGTCGGGTCTTATCTGGCGAAAAGTCTTCTGGATCAGGTGGGCAGCTTACCGCTCCATTTCTTGTATTCGACCGTCGAAGTACAATCACACGACGATGCCTACAACTACCTCCTGTTTTGGTTAACAAAGCAACGGTTTAATGAGAGCAAGAATCGCCTCATCGCCAGTACGTCCCTGAGTAGTGGCCTGGATTACTTCAGTGACGACTCCGACGATGGTGAGTTTGACGACATGCTGGACGCGGAAACCTCCACCGACACCGAATGGAAGGCATCGTTGTCGAACACGCGTCAGCTGCTGTGGTCGCCCTCCGAAGGCATCCACTATTTCAGGTATGGCGGTCGATGTCTGGCACTCACCCGGCAGATCGAGGAACGCGGGACCATGCTCTACACGCGCACTGATAAACTCCGCATCTCATGTCTCGGATGGGATGCGTCCATTTTGAAGCAATTGCTGCTGGAAGCTCGCGTAGAATATTCACAGAAAGAAAAGGGAAAGACGGTGATTTATCGCGGCGCGAAGAGATCCTACGACAATGACTTCTATTGGGCCCGTTCGACAGCGCGTCCCGCCAGGCCATTGTCCACCGTCATCCTGGACCACGAAGAGAAGACCGCTTTTATCCAAGACGTTCAGCAGTATCTCCACCCCAGCACTATGCGATGGTACAGCGACCGAGGCATCCCATACCGCCGAGGCTATCTGTTTTACGGCCCACCCGGCACGGGCAAGTCGAGTCTCGCCTTCGCGGCGGCAGGGTTCCTCGGATTGAACGTGTATATCCTGGACCTGAATGCCACTCAGCTCACCGAAGACGCGTTGGCACAGCTCTTCCAAGAGTTGCCCCGCCGATGTCTGGTGCTCCTGGAAGACATCGACACGAACGAAGTGACCAGTCGACGCAGTGATGAGTCAAAGAAGAAGCGAAAGGGAAACAACAAGATCTCGCTCTCGGCCTTGCTCAATACGATCGATGGCGTCGCAGCGCAGGAAGGCCGCGTGCTCGTCATGACCACCAATCACCAAGAGAATCTGGATCCAGCTCTCATTCGGCCGGGTCGGGTGGATTACCAGATCGAGTTCAAGCTGGCCAATCGCAACCTGATGATGCAGATGTTTCAGAACCTGTTTCGAGACGTTCTTCCGAGCATTGAATCACACCTGGAGGACAGCGAGACTGGCGTGCTGCTGCTCACTTCGACTGCCGAAAAGGTCCCTCTGCTCTCAGCCCCCGACCACGCCCTGAGCCGTCCTGAAAGTCCGGAAGTGGATATGGAGCAGCTGGCGGCCACCTTTGCCGAGAAGATCCCCGAGCTCATGTTCTCGCCGGCGGAGATCCAAGGCTATCTGCTGTGCCACAAAAGCTCCCCATTGGATGCCATCGCACATGTAGAATCCTGGGGGAAGAAGACACTGGAAGAGAAGAAAAAGAAGGATGCCGAAAGAGAGTCTCAGGAGGCCGACAATGATAGCGCAAAAGACAAGGCTAGGAAGGGGAAGAAGGGTAAGAAAGATAAGAAAGCAAAGGAGAGCAAGGACGAGACCGACGAAGAGAAGGAGGAATCCTCTAGTTCAGAGAGTGAATCGGACAAAGAATCATCAGACGAGGAGAACAAAGAACCAAATGGAATGTAATAATAATGAAGAAGGGCGTGGAGGGTCTCAATTCATATCAGGAGCAATAGTTGGCAAATACTACGAGTAGACCAATACAGCAGAGAGACAGTCATGTGAGAACCGTAAGAAATACCATTCCTTTTCATTCTTGAGTCCTAAATCTAGTCTTGTGCATCTACCATCACCATGGTATTCTTGATCATCGACCACCATTCAACTTCCCAGGGGCCTCTGAATGTTACTACTAGTAGTTCTGAACGGAAAAAAGCCTCGTTAGGGGCACAATACACCCTGGACCAAATTGGATTCTAACATATCAATACCAAGGCTTGGTCGCACGGACGGGCTTACGCAAGATCTCCGCCAAGGGTAAGGTGATATGGGCTGGCGGTCCTCACAGCCACGTTCATCAGGTTCATCAACCCAGGTGCAACAAATGATGCAAGCAAAAAGAGGAGCGCTGCGTTGGGCCAAGACGGGTTAGTGTCGATGCCTCAGGGTGGTAAGGCAACCCGCCAAGCGACACATCCATCTGCTTCGGGACTAACGCTACACGTGAGACTATACCGTTCCCTTTTAAGCATGCCACCGGGCACCAATCAGGAGACCTCCTGCTCATTTCCTCCCACTGATCTGCATTGTATCGTCGGCGCACAGCCCTACTGCCGAGAACTGGAGGAAAGGCGATCCGACAATGTAACTTTTAAAACTTCTCCGATAACGAGGCAATGCTGGCAGTCTGCATACGTCATGTAGACATGAGACTCAATCGTCTCTTAACTATAAGAAGAGGGCTATCAGATATGCATCTAGGCCGAACAATTTCAACTTGACCGGGTCCAACAGCCACATATTGGACATCATTATGCGTCTACTCCATTATGCTCTTCCCCTCGCTCCTCTCTGCACCCCTGGAGTATTGGCCCAATTTCTGGGTCCAAGCTTCCCGGCCCCTCGAGACCTCACCAGCGATTCTAGCCGCGTCGCCGCCAGCTGGAAGAAGCTAGACTCAACCCTAAAAGCGAGTCTTAGTCGTCGCAATGCAAGTGAGAATAGCGAATTATCCCAATTGAGAGATTTGACTTTCTCCGTTGGCATGTTCTCGACCCATGACCCCGTAGCCCAGCAGCATCTCCAAATTCACCACACTAGCGCCGAAGTCGCGAATTCCTCAGTGGGAATAAACAAGGTAGATGGAGATAGCATCTATCGGATGGCTAGTGTCTCGAAGCTTATTACGGTCCTTGCGGGTCTCTTAGAACTCGACAGCAGAGACTGGGACCGGCCACTCACCGACATCTTCCCCGAGATGGCGGATTTCGTCCACGAGAAGTCTACTGACTTTCAACCCGTGTATGACACTCAGTGGGATAAAATCACCCTCAACGCAATCGCGTCACAGATGGGAGGCATCCCCCGTGGGGGAAATTCGGACTTACTAGCTAGCTACGTTATCGCCAGAGCGTTGAACGCAACGGACCCGGCCGAAACGGATCCCACCTTTTTGGGTCTCCCCCCTCTGAACGAAAGCGACCTATCCCTCTGGCAAGCTTGCTGGGGGAGTAACCGACCCTTCTGTGCTGAAGTCCCTTATGCAGAAGCGGAGGCTAATGATTTTCCCGTCTTCCTCCCCTGGGGAAGCCCACAATATGCCAATAATGGATATATTTTACTAGGCATGGCAATTGCGAACCTCACCGGCAAGTCCATCGATCAAGTCTATCGGGAGAGCGTCTTCGAGCCTCTGGGGATGACCTCTTCTCTCAGTGACCCTCCGGCCGAGAATGACCCGAACCGTGCGCGCTCGGTCGTTGCAGGACCTGTCGAAGGATTTGCGATCGATGCCGGCGTTACTAAAGCCTCCGGTGGGTTGTTATCGACTACCAACGATCTCGCAAAGCTCGGCGTGGCCATTCTGAATTCCACACTGCTTCCGGCGGATCAGACCCGCAAGTGGATGAAGCCCGGTACCCATACCGCAGATCTGCGATACTCGGTGGGGAAGCCCTGGGAGATCTACCGCTACGTCCATCCAGCCTCGGGAATTGTCACGGATATCTACACTAAAATGGGCGACTCAGGCAACTACGGGGGCCTTCTGGCATTCTTCCCAGACTTTGACGCGGGATTCAGCGTCCTCGACGCAAGTTCCCTTACTACCCGGTCCGCATCGGCTACATACGTGATGGACTTAGTCATTGAGGCTGTTCTTCCAGCCTTGATGGATCAAGCCGCTCTAGAAGCCCAGAGCAACTATGTTGGAACGTACCGTTCCTCGAATGCCGGACTAAACTCGTCTTTGACTTTGGCGCTGAGTCCGCCGACGCGCCCCTCACCCGGTCTGGTAGTCACCTCCTGGATCAGCAACGGCACCGATATCATGCCATACTTAGCATCAATTCTCGGTGGCAAAGACACGAGACTAGTGCCTACCATTTCTGATGCTGGGGCCACTGGAAAGGTGGCGTTCCGCCCTTACACCCCAACAAGGGAAACAGCAGTTGGATCGCCGCAAAGACTCGTATCGCGACTGTACGATGTCAACGACCTGTATCTACTCGATAGTACAATCTACGGTGGCCAGAGCTTGTCACTGCTTGTGTTTGACATCGACAAGGATGGACGGGCTGCGGCGGTGACTCCTGCAGCGTTTCGGGCCACATTGGACAGGCAGTGAGACTGTGCATATCTCACAGCACATTGATATAATACATGGAAAGGGATTCGCCGCGCAGAAAGTGCCGGTGGGTTCTAACTACGAGGCAACTTCATGCTGTTAATATGTCTTTTTTTTTCACGTATATAGAACTTCTCTCGTTTTGTTCACCTCTATCACTTGAGATAACTATCTCCTCACTAATCCGGTCAATACAATCTTCTCAGAATATCTACTTTTGACTTCACATTCGCTAGCTAGACAACCCGGGCCGATAATCTTGGGCTCTAAATGGGGTTCATTTACTAGAACAACGGTATTATATTGACCTATCTAGGTTTATCTAAGACCAGGACTTACTGTAGGACAGCTGATATGACAACTATATCCGAATTGCTTTAAGATATAACCAGTAGTGCATATAACGTAGTTTTGTTGTTGTTAGTTCTCGCATTATTCATTATTTCTATGATGATGATGATCAGTGGTACTTGCAAGGAAATAGCTGCAGGACGTATTTCATTACCCTTGCCAATTGTCACCAAATGGCGCTCAAAGACTCGTACCGAGTCTCGACAAGATATAGCTTTTTTATAGCTGTCAAAGTTAACTTGCCATAGATGTTATAGAGTATAGTGTGATTAGTGTAAGCCATTAATCAAGTCTCTCTCTAGTTCGCCTTCAAAGCCAAACTCTCGTTGTCATCATTCTGCCTCAGCCCATCTAAAGAGATGAATATTGACATGAAGTAGCTCGCTACCCCATCCCCAGGTAGCTCCAGAGAGCCTTAGATTAAACGATTCACCCTCTAATTCTGTGGACGAAATTGTTGGTTCAGTATTATCCATCTCACCAGAGGCTCTGGTTTCATCATTTCCTGAGTGGTTGTCGGGAACAACACCCCCTTGTATGCTGTCCCGGCTGGACGAGTTGACACTATTGCTATCACTGGGAGGATATTTGCAGCGGTCGACGTCCTTCGATATCAACCAGTTCATAACGTCCCGTCCAGTTAATCTGCGCGTTGTCACGAACATTACATCTAAGTCAAGGGTATGTAGCTTGGTTTCGAAACACCAGGGGAGTAATTTGTCTTCGAGATGACAATCCTCCAGTGCAAAGTTGCTCAGAGCTAACTTTCGAAGGCATGGAAACGATGCTCCAAGCATGGATGATAGAAAATGTTCTTGCTTGTAGACCCGTAGTTGGAGCGTCTCAAGACGTCCGGTATAAAATCCTTCATGCCAATCATGTAGCTGGCTACTATCATTTGTATTATCGAATGACAGCGATAGCTTTCTGAGGAAGCGGAGGTGTGGCAAGAACATCTCTTTCTGTTCGTCACTGTCCAAGTAGGCTCGGAGGTCCATCCCGTTGAATGGTCGACGGGATGATGTGGGAGGTGGCGGTGCATCAATACAGTAGGACTGTAGCTGTATATCCCAACGACAGCCGTATTTCAGAAATATGAGATGAGCGCGATCACTGTCGTGTCGAATGGCTTGGAGAAACGCAACAAGCTTGGCTTCTGCGTCTGGATCTTGTATACAAGACCTGGAACAGCAATCAAGATAATTGTAAACATTTTCCTCTACCGGACCCATCTGTAGCATCCGCCATTGGCGCATAGCAGGAGATTCAAAGCATGGGCCATGTGGTCTCGTTGGTGGTAGTTGACGGGTGGCTGACTGGCACCTATGGGGTATCGTCATCCATCTTGACATCAGCTCGGTGATGGTAATATGTTTCAGTCGCGGGAAAAGCGGGAGTGTCTGGTACAGACCTCCTAGATCCATTCCCTCTTCCCAACCTATGTTATAGTCTCGAATGATGCGGCCGATGTCGTAAGGATTCTTGGAGTGACGAGCACCAATTGCTGCACGTCTCTTTATTTCCATGGAGACATCCCACACCAATTCCTCGACACATGGCGCAATTCGAGGATGCTGGGACATCCAACCCAGTACCCATAAGTCCATCCTATTGAATGAGATATACACACGGCTGAAGAGATGGGAAAGAGGTGAAACAACTAAGTCATCAAAGTCTTTACACGTCAAGCGGAGGCACTTGAGAGAATACCGCGTGAGATGCTTGAATATACTCTTTGCACACTCAGGAATCCGAAAGACGGCGATAACCTTGTCTGGGTCTGGGACATTCATGATGAACAACTAGAAGTAAATTGTGACTCGATGGAGAATATAAGTGAAGGCCATGGGGTTTGTTTGAAGAATCTGGGGTTTATAAGATAAGAACTGCCTTTATTAGGGCTTTCGCGGATTCCTTGGGCAGCAAGGGGATAATTTGGTTTAGGCAGACTAGGCGCCCGTCGAGTCTTCCAAGCTATTCAACCTGCAATGCTCCTCATTGCTAATTGAATAGTTACCTTTGCATTAAATGACATCTCTCACTGCCGATATGTATCTAGACATTGCTTTGATTTTAGTCTTGTTTTCTGAAATGTGACATGAATTCCTTAGGGTTTTTTTCAATCTCCTATTTAGGGTAGAAGACTTATGAAAAGTCAGATTACTTATCTCAAGAGGGCGCGTATTGACAAGCTCTCTGTTTCCTATCCATTCTATTCTTCATTTATTTTTGAACTTCTCCAATTAGTCGAAAAGATTTCTTGAAATCATGACGTTCAGCAACATCGTTGGTCGAAAATTCTCTGAATATAATTCAACGAAAGACAAGTTGGGTGGAACAATCTTCAGACTCGGATAAGATTTATTTATACGATGGAAGAAGAACTGTTCAACATCCATTCAGCTTAAATACAGTAAGGTCCAAACCCCATCCAAGTTGGCACAGGCGAGAAGAAATGTTTCCAAATCCTATTTCGAGAACTTTATGCAATCACGTTCTGGTCTAGACCGGACTGCTATCGAACTTTGTCGAGAAATCAGTCCCAACCTATCCTGATAACAAAATCAACAGGGTAGCTATACATACCTAGTCATCTAGGTTTATTTTCGTTTTAAGACAGCCCAGCTCCACATGCCATCGAGTTTGGTGCAACTAGAAACACCACCGCCTGGGAAGAGATACTCTCCTGCACAGTTCTTATCTTTGTAGAAAATTATCCCAACGTCTTCACCCTCTGCCTTGAAGTCGGCAGACCACCAATTGTCCTCAAGCTTTTGGCAGCTAGTTCCTCTGTTATGGTCACCCATTGACCCAGGGGCCCAACCGGTGCATTGTTTGTTATTGTAGAATGTGACGAACCAAGCTGAGCTCAGCGGGGCAGAGGAGAGAAGAATAACACTTAGAGAAGAAAGGAGCTTCATGGTGGTGTGATGGACAATGAATTTAGGTCTGGATATAAGGTAGATGAGTTTGAGAATAGAAGTAGACGTCTCCTTTGGGGCAGATCACAGTCACCTTATATCTTGCGTCTGGAGATTGGATTTTCCGGCACGGTACTATTGTTAGACGCCCAAGCGGTGTTGGGTGAATTCTTGTTGTGTTCTAGTATGACTATAGCCTATATCTTTGAGTGGACCCTCTAAGCTGTCATTTGCTATGACTTTCAGTCTAATGCAGGATTACAGTAGATGAATGTCCAGCTGATTGGGGTCCATATCTCAGCACTGCCCTTGTCTCACATGTAGTGCCTGCTGAATAGACATCATCCTAAGTATTATTGTTGTAGATTAAGCCAGTACGAATTTCCGTCCCACACCAGGAAAAAGCTGACCTCAATTTACCGGAGATCATTGCCATTGGAATGGTCACTTGATGGAATCAGGATTCATCGCTTGCCTACAAACAAGTCAGAATCACTGAAGAGAGTGACAAAGCCCTAACCTATGTAACCTCGGCATAACAGTGACTAGAGTGATACAGGGTCTTCGCTTAACTCAACTCAAACCTGTCGGATAACAGACTTGGAAGTCTTTACCCGCACTAGACTTGAGGTGCTGGCTGGACTTGGGTTTGGTGTAAATCTTGGTAAGATACGGCATCATCATTGGCAGGCCGATCACCTGTAAATGACATGGCTTCTTGGAACTGCTGGAAGCCTAGTGGTTTCTACTACTGCGATTGGATTTCTTTGCATATGCCCTTGCTCGTTCGTTCACTACTAGCACGTTCGGTTTGGTCGTATCCATTTACTACATTATCTTGGCAATTAATCCTTCGCTGCAGAGTCAAAACGAAGGCCGGCTGCTAAGCCATGATTAGACAATGATTGTCTGCGACGTTCACGTCCTATTGGCTAACTAGGATACTTTCTTGAGAGAACTCAATATCACCTTCGGTACCTAGATTTATCGCCAGTACCCGAGGAGTCCAGGTCCCCGCAAATGTGGAGTCCTTGTGAGATTTATACTACTAACTAGTAGTACTACTAGGACGAGTAGTTGTACTATGCTCAAAGAAGAAACATGCGAAGCCAATCATTTGTCCAGGCCCCTTTATCTGGTTTTGGACTAGCTCCCTCAGATTAATTTATTTTGTGAGTATACTATAGATATGTACTTATTACTACTACTACTACTACTACTACTACTACTACTACTACTACTACTACTACTACTACTAACTATTAACTATAATCTATAATAATCCACGGGTGTTTAATTAGTGCTTACTTCGCGAAATTGGAATTCTCCCCGGCTCGTTTAGTCTTGAATTTCTCAGCCGCGGATGCAATTCTTGAACCAGGCTCATGACAATCTCGCATTGCAATGCCATCCCTCTGAAGAGATCCCGAGGATCACACGTATGAGAACCATCGCCTATAGCGAGTAATGCTGGAATACCCCCTTTCCCTGCAGCCTCAATCGAAATATTCGTAAAGCTGCGGGACACATTAAAAAGAACACCTTTATATGACGAAAGACCTCAATGGTGCAAATGATGCGAGGAAGACAGTCTAGTAGGTGCTTGTGTTGGTTATGGATGGGAACGAATAAACGTAACAGCTCTCTGCAGCTGGAGTCGGATAAGGGTTAATCCAGGTGCTTCCATTGGATAAAGTACAGCTTGTAAAACCAAACCCCAAGCCTAGTAATTCAATCCAAAACATTATCCCATAACAATATATTTATGCGCAGATACAGCAATTATGCATAGTGCACCATCCTACTGCAACCATCTCATCATCGTCTGCTGTCATGCCATATACCTTGGTGGACCAACACACGGTATCTCTGAGGATGAATGGTAAGTCTCTACTCTACGGCTTTCTATCTCGTACCGCAAGGGTAATTGGTTTTGATTCATGCTACCATTATGCTCCATTCCCACCTACACTTCCGAGTACAAGTGTATATATACATACTACAACGTATAGACATACCTAACAACAGAAAAACACAAATAGGCTCATAGAACCTTTTCAAAAGGGAGAAACCCCTACATTTACAGCTCACGTAAAAGCTGGTCTAGAAACTTTGGCAAATGATCCGGCTGCGTTGCTTGTTTTTTCGGGGTATAGATGACTTTTCTAACTGCTTGAGTCACCCTAATTTTATATATCGGGTTGGGGTATGGAACACCACTAACGATTTATTATATCAGAGGCGCAACAAAGAAAAACCATACGAGCTTAACAGAAGGAGAATCTTACCTGGTAAGCCAACCGCCTAAAATATATCCATGGACAAATGAAAAAAAAAAATAAAAATAAAAAATAAAGAAGACACAATATCTAAAACTAACCCACACACAGACCCTCGCCCAAGAAAACAACTACTTCTCCTACAACATCCCGCCCGCCCAAATCATACCCGAAACACACGCTACCGATTCCTACCAGAACGTGCTGTTCTCTCTACTCCGGTTTAAACTCTATACGGGCGTTTACCCGTCACGGGTGACGGTCGTGACGCACGAATTCAAGCGGAGACGGTTTATGGAGTATCACTTCCCCGCGATTGGGTTGGTTTCGGTTGTGCCGGGGTCTGGAGATGAGGGTAAAGTCGCTGTTGTTGGGATTAATCCGCCCGAAGAGGTGACGCCTGAAGCTTCTTTGGTTGAAGGGGAGGAGAAGAGGGGGATTGGCTTGTGGATGAGAGATCGGTATGGGGTTTTGGGAGAGTTGAAGGAGAAGAGAGTTAAGAGGGGGTGGTTGGAAGGTATGGAGGAGGGCCTTTTTGTTAATGTGGGATTAGAAGATGTGGTTGAGGAGCTGGTGCGGTGGAATGGGGGTATGAGCGGGAATGAGTGGTTTTCGAGGATGGGAGAGTTGCCTTGGTATTAGTATTGGCGGGATCATATGGGATCAGGGTATTGATAACCTGAGAGTTTAGATATTTGGCAATTTTATAGAAGTTTTGGAACCATGTTAGTGATGCATATTCATTAGTCGTTACTGATATGCTGCCGATGATAAAACACGAAACACAAGTAGCACCGAAATATGCAGAAGTGAGCCTATCGTCTTCCATCCTGAACGCCTTCCGAAAACACCGCAACCGATAGTAGGGAAGTCTAGTCAGCAAGGCGATAACTGACCAATGTCTCTACACGATGGTTGTTCGTGCTGAAACTCCTGAGCTGGACCTTCTCTGCGTTCTTGATCTCCTTGGCGTCACTATCACCCCATTCGACCGGTACCTCTGAGTCGGCGTCGGCGTACACGAGGACGTTAAATGTGCAGTCCCCGTCGAGGACAGGGAGGAAGGTGACCGAAGCGGTAATCTGGCGGAAAATTGCCTGAATTTCTTCTTGAATCTCTTTTTCTGTTTTCTCAACCGGGGCTTGAGGGTCGGCGTTCCTACAAGGAATTAGCTGATGTATGGATGTTACGGATAAAAATGGCATACTCTGGGCCAGCATTTTCTTTGTCACCGGAAGCCTGGGACTTTGTATTCTTGCTGCGTTTCCCGAATATTTCGACCTACAATCGTCCGTTAGCCCCCGAAATCTGTACCCACCACATGGGCGAGTCTCTTACATCGAATTGCCATCTCTCCACGTGCTCCCCAGTTTCCTTGTCTGTGATGACTACAACAAGCTTGGAGATCTTGCCTCCCATCATCCACTTATTCAACTGCGACATGATCTTCTTGATGTAGGCCTTGACCTGGTCGTCGGATGTAACTGGGTCCGTCAGCGGATGCACAGAATAAGAAACGTCGGGTCAACGAACTGAGCATGTTGAGGCCATATTTCTTGACACTGTAATGAGTTAGACACAAATAATCCAATCACTGACTATCGAGAAACTTACGTTGTGAAGTCTTCTGGAGGATATACGCCTCGTTGGAAGCTGGAGGTCAGGGTCAGTGGACATGGCCTAATATGATTCACCTGAAGAGCGAGCTTACAGGATAGAGTTGATAGAATATTCAAACTAATGATATTAGTATGTTTGGCGGACGAGAAATAGGCGGGAGTCTTACGAATTCTGCCACAAGCTTGGACGACCCTACGTAGGGATGAGCTCCTGATCTTCCTTATAAACTAACTGCTCGTGTTTGATCCTCACCTTTCAGGGACAATTTGTGAACCTTAGACTTGTCTTTCGTGGCTGACATGGTGATTAATTTGACGGCAGTGAATAGATTCGTGAGGTGAAGGCGTTGTTGTTCCTGGCGAGAGAGGTGGTGGAAAAAGAGAGGGAGCGTTTGTTTACTCCGATAGTCGCCGGAGCAATTCATTCTAATTCGATACGTCGAAATCGACCGCCTGCCAATCGTCTTCTCCGCAGAGCCGCACTTTTTTTGCCCGCAAAAACTGGAACTTCCAATTGATGCCCACTGTCAGCGTGCGAGACATTTAATTCGACAAGAGACAATTCCCATGCCATTGCAGACCTCCCAATGCGAGGATGCCTGCAGTTAGCCAGATGGCTGAGCGCAGGGCCGAGATGCCCGGCGGCGAGCCTTCCCAAGGCGCCATCCGGCCTCTATAATACCATCCGGTCTTTCACTAATTCCGCCCAGTTGGCATCGCGAGCCAGAGCAGCGGCGAGCAAACCCGCCTCCGATCTGGAAGCCAGAATCGCGCAGATCCCGATCGACCGATACCGTAACTTCTGTATCGTCGCGCACGTTGACCATGGGAAGAGTACCCTCTCCGACCGGCTGCTCGAACTCACGGGCACCATCCAGCCGGGATCGAACAAACAAGTGTTAGACAAACTCGATGTCGAACGGGAACGAGGTATCACTGTGAAGGCACAAACATGTACGATGATATACAACCATAACGGAGAGGATTATCTGTTGCATCTTGTTGATACACCGGGACATGTGGATTTCCGTGCAGAGGTTTCGCGCAGTTATGCTAGTTGCGGAGGAGCATTGCTTCTGGTGGATGCCAGCCAGGGTATCCAGGCACAGACTGTCGCAAATTTCTATCTCGCTTTCGCGCAGGGCTTAGAGTTGATCCCCGTCATCAACAAAGTAGACTTGCCATCGGCCGAACCGGAGAAAGCTCTCCAACAGATGAAAACGTCGTTTGAACTGGACACAGAAAACGCGGTGATGGTTTCTGCTAAAACGGGCCTGAATGTTGAGAAATTGCTTCCTACTGTGGTAGAGAAGATCCCTGCGTATGTATACCATTCTTAACCACTACCGTAACTCCGTGCTGATTGTACAATAGGCCTGTAGGTGATACTCAGAAACCCCTACGAATGTTACTCGTCGACTCCTGGTATGATTCCTACAAGGGTGTCATCTGTTTGGTTCGAATCTTCGATGGCGAAGTCCGGGCAGGAGACCAGCTTGTCTCGTTCGCAACGGGCATTAAGTATTATGTCGGTGAAGTCGGCATCATGTACCCCACCGAGACCTCACAGACCGTTCTGCGAGCGGGCCAAGTCGGTTATATCTTCTTCAACCCCGGTATGAAACGGAGCCAGGAAGCTAAGGTTGGCGATACTTATACCAAAGTTGGTTCTGAGAAAGCTGTGGAGCCTCTTCCTGGTTTCGAAGAACCCAAGTCTATGGTTTTCGTAGCTGCCTATCCTGTGGATGCGGACCATTTCGAGCACCTGGAGGATAGCATCAACCAGCTTATGCTCAATGACAGAAGCATCACAGTGCAAAAGGAATCCTCCGAAGCTTTGGGTGCAGGTTTCAGACTGGGATTCCTTGGGACTCTCCACTGTTCCGTTTTCGAGGATCGTTTGCGCCAGGAGCACGGTGCCAGCATCATCATCACGCCTCCTTCCGTGCCAGTAAAGGTAATATGGAAAGATGGCCACGAAGAGATTGTTACGAGCCCCGCTCGCTTTCCCGAGGAGGATGATCTGCGATCTAAGGTAGCGGAGATCCATGAGCCTTACGTGCTTGCCACCCTAACTTTCCCCGATGAGTACCTTGGAAAAGCGATCGAATTGTGTGAAGCGAACCGAGGCGTACAGAAAAGCCTTGAGTACTTTACGTCGACTCAAGTCATTCTCAAGTATGAACTGCCTCTGGCACAGTTGGTCGACGATTTCTTCGGCAAGCTCAAAGGGTCTACCAAAGGTTACGCTACTCTAGACTATGAGGAGTCTGCTTGGCAGCCAAGCAACATCGTGAAACTACAACTGTTGGTTAATAAAGCCCCGGTGGATGCTGTGGCCCGAGTCGTCCACTATAGCCAAATCGAACGACTGGGGAGGAAATGGGTGACAAAATTCAAGCAGCACGTCGATCGACAGCTCTTTGAGGTGGTCATCCAAGCTGCTGTCGGACGCAAAGTCATTGCAAGAGAGACCGTCAAGCCGTATCGGAAAGACGTCCTGGCCAAGCTCCATGCAAGTGATGTCAGTCGACGGAGGAAGCTCCTGGAGAAACAGAAAGAAGGCCGGAAGAGGCTCAGGGCTGTCGGTAACGTGGTGATTGAACAAAAAGCGTTCCAAAATTTCTTGTCGAAATAGATCGCATCGGGAAAGACTGTACATTACGACCCATTGTATTATACCTCTTCAGACTATTTTATTTATACACAGTATCTCTGGATCTTCCAGCTCAGCATTTAATATGATTGCCCGTTTTGGAATCCTTGAGCATTGAATGTTTACGTAAGCGGTGTAGCACAACACTGATTGATGCTGATTGGACGGTGCAGCGGAGGGGCCTGCGGAAGCTTTCAATTTGGCCGCAGAAAAGTTTCGTCGCCGACCCCGCCGCGGTGATGTCTTGCAGTTTCTCTTTCATCCGTGTCCCTGACCTTTTGGATTGTGCAACTGCCATTCACACGGCTTAGCGGGGTGCTACTGTCCTACTCATACCGTGGCAAGCCCCTTTTTCGGTTGTGCGCTAACCGCAGCGCTGTACAAAACATCTCTTTGAGTTATTGCCTCCCTGCCATGTTCAGCTCTTGATAGGCGTGATGCAGCCTCCGGAAGGTGTGCAGGTCGACCTGGGCAAGGCCCAGGTCATTGACCGTGCTCCTAAAGTTATCAAGGAATTGAAATTTGGTGTTCTGTAAGAACCCCGGCCGGGTATCGCTTGCGGGTTGTCTGATGACCATGGCTGACCCTTTCGCGCGTGACTCATATAGGTCCAACGATGATATTGTCAGCCAAGGTGTAGTCGAGGTCTCCGACCGGAAGTTCTTTGACCTCGATCGTGATAGATCGGTCGTTGCCCATGGCCCCCTCGATTCGCGCATGGGTGTATCAAGCAAAACCGCATCATGTCAAACATGTGGTGGCGCCCTTCAAGTCTGTAACGGTCATTTCGGCCACGTGAAACTCGTCCTGCCCTCGTTCCATGTAGGGTATTTCAAGCGTGTCATCACCATCTTGCAGGAGATTTGCAAAGAATGTTCGCACATTTTGCTCCCGGAAGGCGAACGCCGTGCTTTTCTCCGTGAAATGCGACGCCCGGGCCTGGATAATTTGAGAAGGTTACAAATAGCGAAGCGCATCAACGAGCGTTGCCGTAAGACTCGGAATTGTGATGTGTGCGGTGCCATCAACGGTGTAGTCAAGAAGGCTGGAACAAGCGCGCTCAAAATCACGCACGATAAATTTCGTGCCTTCAATGCCTCTACCTCTATGAAGAAGATCCCGCCCCCTAGCAAGATTGTTTTCGATCGATCGTTCGAGGAAGCTAGGAGCCATAATGCGGAAGTTGAAAAACATTACAAAAAAGCGCAGGATGATATGAATGCCTTGCGTGTTCTAAACCTCTTCAAGAGAATTTCCGATACGGACTGCGAACTATTGGGATTGGACCCGAAGGAAGCCAGACCCGAAATGTTTCTCTGGCAGTATATCCCTGCACCACCTGTGTGTATCCGTCCTTCCGTAGGCCA